GAAATATATAGAACTTTCCATGTTGACATTGAGTTATATCAACACGGCTCTTAGCCAATCAGCATTCAGAATTTACAAGTGCTATATTATAAAAATTATAATGCCGGCATTCTTATTGTTAAAAAGTGTGTTTTAAAATTAATTAAGGTTCTTATAATAATCAGATGGAAATATATACAGTATAAATTAGGTAATACGCACCTTGAGATTTGTAGCTTCCCATGTAAATGAAATACAATCTTCAGATGTCGGAACATTTATAGGATGCCCAACTGCATTTGGTTTGATTCGTCCACCTCTTACGAAGTAGAAATTGGCCGCGTACCCTAAACAAATAAATCATAATATATTGAAGCTCTTGAAATTAATTTGTAACTAATACAACTCTAAAGTTTGTTCGTTCACTGCAACCAGGTACAGTATATCAATCATGTTTCGCTCGCCACTCTGGTTTAATTAAATGATTACAAAGCCCAGTCGAATTGTAATCAAGACCCAATGTTTCAACACTCCAGTTGTTTCATTCTATGATCGTCCAATTTGTCCGACGAGGAAATGATCCCGTGTATGATGTAATAGACGTTCAGATCCGCGCATGGCTGTGTGTGGCTCCTCGTCTGTGATATCTGCATCACTCTCCTAATATGGCTTTGAATGCTTTTTTTCATCTCCACCAAAATGCATATACTGGAGTGTCATAGATTAGAATGAAACTTGAACTGGAGTGTCGAAACGTTGGGTCTTGATTACAATTCGACTGGGCTTTGTAATCATTTATTTAAACCAGAGTAGCGAGCGAAACATGATTAAATACAACTCTGTCACATTTTATATTTAATTCATCTAGGATACACAAGCAGATTTTTAATTTCATCTCCATGCCAATACTGTTGAGATCAATGGTTTACACATGATTCTATCATGACAATGTCTTCAAGTATTACCAAGAGTAACCCATTACCCCCTCCTCACCTTGGAGCAGGTTAATTGCATGAATGCCACTGGGCGTTAGCTTAAAAGGGCTCACTTTCCAACAGAACACAACTAAGATTGAACAAACCGCCCCCCAAGGAATTGAACATGCAAGGACATGGACATGGCCACCCCCAGTAACCTTGTGCACTATCTGCCCCTGATTATGCAAATTCAAAAAGAATGTTTCAAATTCAAAACGAATGCTTCACAAAGGTGTAACACTGTAACTGCTCAGATATTCAATCAAATGGAATGGTAGGCAGACCTACCAGGTCTCCCCACACACGTCGATTGATATGTGTTGCACAGGTGAGCAAGAGTGCTCTGAATGCAGTCTTAGTTTTAAGGTTCTCTTAATTAAACAAAGTGCTCACAGCCATCCCTTAGTCCCCGCTAGAGATTTCCAGGGCCGTAACTAGGGGGGGGGGGAGGGGCATATTCATATATTCGTGTTCTGCCCGAGAAAAATCACAAATACTGTAATCTCCCCCATTTTATGCACCACACCCTGGCAGGCCTGGGCAAGAGGGCAAAAGTTTGCAGGAGCTGAGCATACTCCAATCATTCTTTATTTCTGTCAATGAGAGGAACAGAATGATTCACCTTTTCTACAAGTAAGGTAATCAAAGACATGCAGTCAGTAAAGTTTGTTGAAGAATTGTATATTTCTATCTAAGAACGCCAATAACTCTTTCAACATGTATCCAGATAGTAGCAATCTTCCTTGCTTCTCAATACCAACAGAATCAAGCGGGCCTTTTCCTTTTGTGAAAGCTTGACGAAACACAACTTACACTTTCATGAATAATAAAACCCCTATCTGCAAGAACTAAATCAACTGTCTGTCTGTTTATCCAAAATGCCACATTTCTCAGTTAAAAAAACTTATCTGAAGTCCCCCCCTCCAAGTCTCACAGACAAAATAAATTGTTCCTTGTGATGTAATTCCAATTAAAACTTTTACTGTGTTGTGATGCTTTTAACTGAAAAGGTTTGTGCTCTTGCAAGTACCATGGATAAATAGTTGGTCTAACAACTAATCAATTCAATTCAGATCATTTTGAAGTATATCTTCTGATCTTCGTCTGCATTCTATTGACAAAATCTCTGTTTCTTCGGTTGGTTTTTATTTTTCTTTCACTTTGATCTTGATTTTTCAGAAAAGATCATTTTGAAGTATATCTTCCGATCTTCGTCTGCGTTCTATTGACAAAATCTCTGTTTCTTCGCTTTGTTTTTATAATTTTTCTTTCGCTTTGATCTTCATTATTCAGAAAAGACCTGAGATATTCGCAAAATGCAGTCATCGCAAGAGATTTTGGGCGAGAAATTTTGAGCGTGCACGTCAAACAATGGCGATGCATGTCAGCAAACTACCGATCACGTCACTAATGACGAACTGAATTTAATCGCCTGAAGCCCTGAAGATTGTCACAAAAAGTGGCATGAAACTTGAAGTAGCGATAGATTAATACATTTTAAGATAACAAATTATATATAGTACAATTGATGCTCATTATTCTATAGCCTAGGTCAAAAGAGGATGAGAGTTGATGAGAGCCACCAACTCTCATCATGCACCTTTTTTTATGAAAGTTTTTTCTCTTTTGACCGGTAATGCGCCAATCAAAATGAAGGTGTAACATCCCCCCCCCCCCCTGGGAATTTGACCTTTTTTATTTTGCAATGATCAAATCCACCACCCCAAGTCAAAAAACCAGGTTCAAATGTCCTACATTCCACAACTACTGTGAGTACTGTAGCTAGGTGGTGGTCAAATGCCCCATTGTAAATTTAATTTGAAGGTTAAGATTATTCAACTATTAACTTCCCCAGTCCATTCTGGTTCAACCAATCTTGAAAATAATTCACATTTTGACTTTGAAAATTATTTACTAACATTTTCGCCATTTTCTTGAAAACACAAAAGCAAAAAATGTGCATTTGATTGAAACGTAGTTTCTTGTGTCAGCAGGCAGCAAGTCAATCTATAATATAGTCTTATTGGACCTTAATTAATGTTAGGTAAAGTAAATAGTTTTTTAGTTGTGGTCAAATCCCCATCCTCATTATAAGTGGAATCGAAAACAAATGCCTGTCCCAAGGAAAAATTACGAATGGCAAATGCCCCTCTCGTACCGGGGGGGGGGGGTTACACCTTCGTTTTGATCGACGCATTAGACAGATTTAGATCGAGGACGCGGACGTCAAAGACGACGTGAAAATGGCGTCAAAATGGCGTGGCATATCCATACATGGGCACAACACGCCATTTTCACGTCGTCTTCGACGTCTGCGTCACAGAATAGGAAGGTATAGCAGAAGCGTAACTCAAGCAAGTATTTGTCCGCGTTTTTACAAGCGATTCGTCACCAATCACGCCATCCTGGCTAGTACAACCGGCACTTTGTACCAAAACCTGATAAAAACCTCCGGCTGTACTAGCCAGGATGGCGTGGATTGTGTGAGCGAGTTAAAATTTTCGTGGACGTCAAACAATAAGGGAAACGACTAGAGTTACGCTTCTGCTATAGCTTCCTATTCTGTGTCCGCGTCCTCGATCTAAATCTGTCTATTATCTCAAGAGTCAAGACTATAAAGTACACCTTGGGCACAGAATAAGGTACACAGAAGGCCGACTTCTTCGTTTTTCCTATGATTTTCCTATGATTTTGGCGTAACTCGTGATTCGTCATCAAATGCTGACGCCATGGTCCTAGCCAGTGCACGTCTGAGAGGCATTCACCCCCCTGATATCATTCAAAATGGCGGATGGCCAGGGGGGAATGCCTCTCAAACGCGCACTGGCTAGGCCCATGGCGTCAGCATTTTGATGATGAATCATGGCGTGGCAGCGTTACTCGAGTCACAGAATAGGAAGTTATACCAGAAGCGTAACTCGAGCAAGTATTTGTCCGCGTTTTTACAAGCGATTCGTCATCAATCACGCCATCCTGGCTAGTACAACCGGCACTTTGTACCTATCAAATCCTGATAAAAACTTCCGGCTGTACTAGCCAGGATGGCGTGGCCTGACGTGAGCGAGTTAAAATTTTCGTGGATAAGGGAAACGACTAGAGTTACGCTTCTGGTATAACTTCCTATTCTGTGCTCGAGTCGACCTTCTGTGTACCTTATTCTGTGCCTTGGGTCTTAAGTTTGTACCAAGTACCTGGTAATAGCCTTTGGAGTGCCAATGAAGTAAAAAATAAAAATCTTGAATTATCGCTGTTGCGATCTGGTGTTTGTTTAATTAATCAAAGTGATTTTCCAGAGTAGTCTAACGTTTCACCAAAGTAGCAATACCGATGCATATTAATAAACAAACATTTCGCCGTTCACGGATATTTTGGGAAGAAAACGGTGCATAAAAAAAATGTACAAATCATTCGTTTACTGACAAGATACACGGCTCTAGAGCAACTAGATTTATTGCCAAAGACATAGTATAAAATTCGAGCGACAGATGTTGTATCTTTATATGAGAACAAAATAGGCATATTTTCGACAGTACAAACAAAACTCACCAAATATTTTCTTACTTTCCGTCGAGTTCATATACATATTGTAATCCCCACAACATAACTCAACACACGCAAGAAACGCACAAAGATAACTCCACAAAGACATGACTACAGTTTTATCAGCATCCTAAAATATGTGTCCTCAAATATGATATTTTCGACTTTCATCTGGTTTGTGTTTATCAATTAGTTTTCGGATATTGCCGTAAAAACTCGGAACGTCTTCGTTCGCAAATTAACCACTGATCTCGCATTCGTACCAGAGGAGGGGAGTGTATCTAAAAGTCGAGGGTCGAGAGTAAAAGTCGAGAGTCGAGAGTAAAAGTCGAGAGTCGAGAGTAAAAGTCGAGAGTCGAGAGTAAAAGTCGAGAGTCGAGAGTAAAAAGTCGAGAGTCGAGAGTAAAAGTCGAGAGTCGAGAGTAAAAAGTCGAGAGTCGATCGAGAGTAAAAAGTCGAGAGTCGATCGAGAGTAAAAAGTCGAGAGTCGATCGAGAGTAAAAAGTCGAGAGTCGGCAAATGTCATCAGAAACAACAAAGTCAAAATACTTTTAACACAATATATAACCGATCCGTAACAACGGCTGATTATAGCCGTACGGGCGAGGGGGGGGAGGCAGTCCCGCCCCCCCCCAGTCAAAATAAAGTCATGCAAATTATAAACGTATAAATTCGGGCAAAAATTGGGGGAAATAAATTTAAAAAGAAGACAGTACATGCAATATGGTATTTGAAAATACCAGAAATATGTAAAAGTAACGAGGAATCGACAAATAGGAAAATATATTTGTCTACTTCCCAACGACAATTTTGGAAATTTAGTTACACGGAAAATTTTATTCAGTGGGTAAAAGTCGGGTAAATTTATTTCTGGCTCCCTGATTTTTTCCCGCCCGTACGCCTATGACGGCTAAACTAATTTCATTTCCTGTGTATCGGCCAACATAAAGCAAACAATATTTGCGAAACATAATTTAGTATGCTCAAATTCTCGAAATTAAAGTAAACAAGAGGCATATACAATCAAAGGAATAATCCAGTATAATATAAAACAAAAACTTTCGCAAAAATTTAGCCACAACATTCAATAATAATAACTATTATCTAATAACTAGTTTTATCGCTTCCTTATATATTACTGTCCATCCTTCCCGCTTTTACATGCACCTATTTCCGCGAAAAATTACTCATATGTGAAGCTACATATAAATACTAGGACTTTACAATTACGTGCGAGACATATTACCACCCGATAGAGTCACACATACGACAAAAGAATCCTATTTTTACTGGCTCGTATTTATGAATTCACAATTGTATGAATCGTTAGATTGTGATCAACGTGGATTTCTTAATACGCTCTCGTTTGATATAAACGTACGTTAATGAATAAGTGACATTTTAGTTACAAACCTGGAGATGGCTGTCAAAATTCAGCGGAGTTTATGTGTCAGTTACAATGAAATGACATGTGAAAACATTTAGCAAGATTGAGGCATCAAATGCAATGTTATTTTCTTATCCAATCTTTTTTTGTTTTTGTTATCACGTTATTATTATTGACTGTTGTAGCAATATTTATTGGAAAGTTTGTATTTCAGCCGTTGGTACTTGTTACGGAATGGTTTCTGAATGGTTATGTAAAGCTATATATATAGATTGTGTTAAACGTGGTTAAAAATATTTTTGACTTTGTTGTTTCTGATGACATTCGCCGACTCTCGACTTTTTACTCTCGTCGACTCTCGACTTTTTACTCTCGATCGACTCTCGACCTTTAACTCTCGACTTTTTACTCGCGACTCTCGACTTTTTACTCTCGACTCTCGACTTTTACTCTCGACCCTCGACTTTTACTCTCGACTTTTACTATTGACCTATACTCTCGACCCTCGACTTTTAGATACACTCAATGCACTACTGTTAACCGACCAGAATGCATTGCTGTTAGCTGACCTGAATGCTTTGCATGCATGATGCTATAAATACAGGGAATCTCATTAGTCAGTTTATATAAGCCGGTAACGATTCTCAGTTTTGGTGTATTTTGTATTCATTGTAGGGTCTGTTGATTTTGGCTGGTCTTACACTATATATACTGAATTTGTTTATTACAAACAATTTATAACGCTTAGAAAGCAAATTTATGCGTTTGTGCTTTCACCTTATTTTCTTTTGTCTTTTCTTATTTCATTAAGCACTTAGCAGTAAAATCAGCATTGTATTTGCACGTCTGAAAGCGTTCACTTCAAGCATTCCTGCTCGCGTTTTAAATAGTACATACCGCACAGTCCGCACTGACTGCGCAGTTGTGGTCTTGTGATAGTTTGAAGTAATGTGTGGTCTTTAATAGTGTGCTCTTAAAATGATTATTGGCTGATATTGTGGTGTAGCGGAAAAGGTTCCAAAAATGGGTACAAGTTTCCATACTATTGTCGTTCTGTTGTGACGATCACAGATATTATTACAAGTAATAGCAT